GGTACGGGGACGTCTGTACTTATCTACGAGAGGCTATATAAGTGTTAGGAAAAATTTCCACTTCATTTGATTTCCATATCGTGCGAGATTTTTTATATCAAAATTCTAAACCTTTGTCTTCTATTCTCTCACAGATAGTGAGGACACGAGCTACCGGAGATGACTAGGCACTCGCGCCCCCTGCTAGTGTCATCAGAGGTCGGGGTCGAGGTAGAGGTCGAGGATGCGAACGTGGTGCATCCAGAGCACCCGCTGTGTTATGGTTGAAAAACTTTATTTCCGGCCTTAGGATTGTCGATTCCATATCAAGGCCATTGAGAATCTTATGTGAAAATTCAGCTGTAGTGTTCTTCTCTAAGAACAATAAAAGTGGCAGCCGAAGCAAGCACATCGACATGAAGTACTTGATGGTTAGAGACTATGTGAAGAAGCAAGATCTGAATTTTGAGCATGTTAGATTACTGATCCTATGACTAAAGGTCTGCTGGCTAATATTTTCAAGGATCATGTAGCCCATATGGGATTAGTAGCTCAATTTAGTCTTGCTTTGCTCTTTAATAGTTTGTTTAAACATTATGTTTACTTTGATATACATGACAGTGCACACTTTTGGTTTTTCATGTATTATTTATGATCATTGGATCAATAAAGTTGGACTCCGAATGACTTATATTAAGTTCATTCGTAAATTTGTTAGACACTTTATTAGAATATATTGTGCATTGTAATACATGGAAGGAAGTGTTTGTTTAAAAGCATGACCGCCATGATTCGTGTAATAATATATTCTAGTTAAAGTGATTGTTGCATAACTTTTTGTTGAGTGATAAAGTTTATGGTCATATTATATATTTATCTCTCATAAAGGATTATCTGATTTTAATATGTGGGCCGAGTGGGAGAATATTAGAAATTACCGTCTCTTCTAGAGACTTCTAGTATGGCACACATATTAGGTAATAAATTATTTACCTTGTCTCCCAAAGAAAATAATATATCAGATAATATTTTGTAGTTATGCATATATGGTAGTTTCTTTGATGGAAAAAAATTACCATATATTAGGAGTCCCTAGGGTAATTATAAGTTATGGAGAAGTCCCTAGGGCTAAAGTATTTGCCTAAGAGTCCCTAGCCTACCTATAAATACGCCTATGACTCCATCAGTCTGGCATCCTACGATAGGCACAGCTAGAAGGCTCCTAGGTTTCCGTCAAAGTTTTCTTAAGGCGATTTTCTACAACTCTTGAATAACAATGGCTAAAGGTACGTTCCTATTAATATTCCACTACTGTAATGACCCGACTGGTCGTTTTGAGCTCTAGCGCATCGTTCAGCAGTTTGAGGCCATGAACAGCTTCACTTCAGGTATTATGACTTGTACGCGTTGTCGGAATTGAATTCCGGGAAGTTTGGAGTGGATTTGGAAAGAAAATTCTCATTCCGAAAGCTTTAAGTGGAAAGAATTGACTAAGATTTGATTTTTGAGTAAACGACCTCAGAATCGAGATTTAAAGGTTTCAGCAGGCTTGTATGATGATTTCGGACTTGGGCGTATGTCCGAATCGAGTTTTGGATGACCCGGAAGCGTTTCGGTGCCTATTGTGGAAGTTAGCATTTTTGAAAATTTTCATAAATTTGGGTTGAATTGCATTTTAATGGTATCGATGTCCATGTGGAACTCCGAGTCTGGGAATAGCTCTGTATGGTGATTCTGGTATTGGGAGCGTGTCCGCAAGTGGAGTGGATTCGGAGGTCAGTAGGTCATTTTTGAGTCGTTTGGCGAAAGTAGAAATTTGAAGGTTTTTGAGAAGTTTGACCGGAAGTTGGCTTTTGATATGGGGGTCGGATCACGTCCGTAATGTCGAATATGACTATTGTGCAAAATTTGAGGTTAATCTGACGTGATTTGATAGGTTTCGGTATCGAATGTTGAAGTTTGAAGTTCTAAAGTTCATAAAGCTTGAATTGGGGTGCGATACATGATTTCGGCATTGTTTGATGTGATTTGAGGCTTCGAGCATGTCCACGTTATGTTTTAAAACTGGTTGGTATGATTAGATGGGGTCCCGGGGGCCTCGGGTGGATTCCGGGTGATTAACGGATCGAATTTGGAGTTTGAAGAAGAATTGAGGCTGCTGGCATCTGGTGTAACTGCACATGCGAGCTTTTGGCCGCAGGTGCGGAGCCGCAGAAGCGGCCTAGAAGTCGCCGAAGCGGAGCAAGGCCGCCCAGGTGAAGGATCGCAGGTGCGGAGCCTTGACCGCTTCTGTGCAAGCGCAGGAGCGCAAATGATGGTCGTAGAAGCGGCAATGGGCGCAGGTGCAAAGGAGCACCGCAGAAGTGGTGAGGAGTCCGCAGGTGCGTAAATCGCTGGGCAGAACACATTAAATAGCGGGGTTTGGCCATTTTTGCTCATTTCTCCATTCTTGGGCTATTTTTGGAGCTTCTTGAGAGGGCTTGCACCTAGCAACTTGCAGGTAAGTTAATCCCACCTATTGTAAGTCAAATACTTGGATTATATCTAGATGCTAACATAAAAATCATGGGGAATTAGTGGAAACTTGGGATTTTGAAGAAAAAACCTAGAAATTGGTATTTTCGGATGTTGACCACGAATTTGGGCATGGAATTGGAAACAAATTATATATTTGAGTTTGTGGGGTTATGGGTAAAGTTTATCTTCGGAAAAAAATTCGGAATCCGGGCACGTGGGCCCGAGGGTGATTTTATCGACTTTTCGAGCGGAGTTGGGAATTGATATAAATTGAATTGTTATGAGTTTTGAGCATATATTTATGGGTCTGCATAATTATTGACTAATTTTGGAGCGTTGGGCATCGGTTTGAGTCGTCGGAAGGGGCTTGGGAGCAGGTTAAGGAACTTCGGAGCAAGGTAAGTCTCCTTTCTAATCTTGTAAGAGGGAATCATCCTCATAGGTAAAGTAATTAAATATGTGCTCCTATTTGTGGGGGCTACGTACGCACGAGGTGACGAGAGTCTGTGCGTAGCTACTATTATGCTTAAGTCCTGGTAGTATAGGACCCAAAAGCATGCTATACTTGCAATATTTGTAACCTTATTGTCGATTCAAATGCTTAATTATATCGAACTTGGTAAATGAATTTCTAAAAGGGCTAAACATCACTTTCTTGACCATTAAAAGAGCAGTTGACATTTCTTTGGGTAATTGTTTCGCTGATAAATTCTTGATTGACTATTTGAACGTATTTATCTATGTGTAACTGTGTCGCACGTATGATTCGCGAGCGGGGTAATTCTTTTATTTATATTTGATCGCGTCGCATTGATGATTCGCGAGCGGGGTAATAGATGCATCTATGGTTCGCGCCATTCGACCCTCTGGCAGTGCACAGTTTAAATATTATGTTGGATCGGGCCATACGACATCTGCATGATTTGCGCATGACTTGATTGATTATTTTGGAATTATTGATAATTGATATGGCCTCATCGGCCGGAGATTGTAAATTATTAAAAGATGAAAATAAGTTTGAAGATTTCTATTAGCAAAAGATTGTTTCCCTACTTCATGATTATTGAGTTTGCAGTTGCCTTGTAAAATCCATGACTTTTCACATTATCGGTATTATATTATTGGACCACAAGTAAGTGTAGAAGTCGACCTCTCGTCACTATTTCTTCGAGGTTAGACTGGATACTTACTGGGTATGCGTTGTCTTGGTACTCATACTACACTTGCTGTGCATTTTTGTTGCACATGCACATGTATGTCTAGTGGCCTCATTGGGCGCAGCGGCATGGTTGATACGGAGACTTAGGTGAGCTGCATCTCCCGAGACGACCCACAGCCAGCAGAGTCTCTTTCAGAGTATTGTATTTTCTTATCTGTCCAATTTGTATTTCGGACAGTTATTGTATTACATTTTATTTCTAGAAAATTGCTCATGCACTTGTGACACCGGGTTCTGGGATGTATATGGGATTATTCAGTATTGAAAATTTGTTAAAGACATCATTATTTACTCGGTAAAGTTCATTATTTATTGTTTAATGTAAGGAAAAGAAATAATTTCAAAAATACTAAAATGAGAATTTAATTAACTTCTTGGTGTTGGCTTACCTGACATGGTGTCCGGTGCCATCACGACTCTTAAAGGATTTTGAATATGACAGCTGCATAGGCTCTGTGTATTGGTTTGATTTTTCTACATATATTACTTGAAGGTGGCGGCAGAGATAATGAGGATGACGCTATAGCTAAGATATGGAGATAGTGAGAGACTTTCCAGAAAGGAAAAAAAAAAGGTTAGACAAAATAACTAGGAGGAGTATTTCAGGAGCACCTGTAATTTGAAAACCAATATATTCTTTTTGACTTGGTTCTAATTGCATCAGTATTTTAGATTAATTGTTAGTCATTGTCAAGAAAACTAAATCTAGAGGTAAGCATTAGTCAACGCGTAACTTCATTAAAAAAAATTGTATAACTTCATTGAATGAATGAATTAATTAGCGTGTATTATACCTTTCTAGAATCTGCTGATGCTTGTTTGTAACCCTCCAAACTTTTAAAGAAAGGCAACTATTTAGTCAATGAACTTTATTTTTAGAAACTGATTCAGGATTCAAATTTGGTTGATTTAATCTAGAAGTAAGCGTTATCCGGGATAATTGGGCGTAAAGCGCTTGTAGGTGGTTTTTTAAGTCTGCCGTCAAATTCAAAGCTCAATCCTGGATAGGCGGTGTGAAATGCCAAGCTGAAGGACGGTAGGGGCAAAGGAAATTTTCGGTGGAGCGGTGAAATACATAGAGATAGAAAAAACATCAATAGCAAAAATACTCTGTTGGGCCGACACTGACGTTGTGAGATGAAAGCTAGGGGAGTGATTGAGATTGGATACTGCAGTAGTCCTAGCCGTAAACAATAGATACTAGATGTTGTGCGTATCGACCTGTTTTATTCCATAGCTAACGAGTTGTAGCAAAAATGCAATAATATACACAATGAGCACAATATACACTAATATACACAATAAACACAAAGTAGCACAAATTTTCGTATATTATTTTTTACACACACACTAGCAAACATGCACTTTCATCTAATATTTTCTTATTTTCTTTCTTTTTTGTTTATTTTCTATATATGATTACCACCATCTAACTAGAAAAATTATCTTATTGGCTTTTCAACATATTTCCATTAATCCTTACATCATTTGACATCTTCTTCATATTGTCTTCTTGACTTGTCCTCACACCATTAGACATTTTCTTCATAGACAAAGCTGCATTTAGAAAATCTTCCATTGCTTTAATAGAAGACCCTTTAAAATCTTCATTATCTATAATAGCATCTCCTATTATTTCTTTAACTTCAATAGCGTTCCTTCTAATTTCTTTCCCTTTATCATTTTCCCCCATAACCAACTCAATCTTTTCCAATATATTCTCATGCTTAACTTGAGAATTATTCCCTCTAGCCACCTCAACACAAACACCAACATCTTGTTCTAAAAACTTTGAATTGTAGAATTGCTCTGATGCTATAGGCCAACCAAGTAATGGCACTCCATTTCCAAGTGATTCTAACACTGAATTCCATCCACAATGCGTCAAGAACGCTCCAACCGATTTGTGAGCCAAGATTTCAACCTGTCGAGACATAACATAATTAAGTAAATAAAGTCTTGTTAGTGGACCATGTTGAGATATGACATAATTAAGTAATTAAAATCGTAATAAAAACAACAACAACAACTTAACCAGTATATTCCCACATGTGGGGTCTGAAGAGGGTAGTGTGTACGCAGACCTTACTCCTACCTAATGAAAGTAGAGAAGTTGTTTCCAATAGAACCTCAATTCAGAAAGGTATGGAGGAGGAGGAGAAGAAGCGGAGGGGGGTAAGAAGAAGAAAAAGAAAGAAAGAGGAGAGAAGGGGCGGAGGGAAAAGAATAAGTAATACAAAATAGGAACAACTGGAGAATGCGATAATTGAAACAAACTAAACAACATGAAAATTATAAAATCCTAACAATTTAGACTTTTAGATAAGATGGTTATACAGTTCTGACCTGAGGAGCCCATTTTGGCACTATGAGTCCCCGATTTTGATCGTCGAAAACGCGTTGAACAAACCTCTCAGGCAACCATTCCTCAGGTCTAAACTCCATATTTATGTCAAAACCCAAAGGGGGTCTAACAACCCATATAAAATTTACTCCACTAGCATTATCCAATGCTTTTGCCAATTCCATCATTTGTGATACTGAAATTGTACTTTGTGAGCCAAAAGAAATGTAAAGTACTGACTTTGGTTCTTTTTCATCAAGAAATCTGATGCATTTCTCTGTTTCTTCCTTTGTTTCTTTACCAGCTCTTGATTTTCCACTCACTGGCCAAGGTATTGGTCCAATGGCCCAAACTGGTAGTTTTAATTTTCGACGAAAATACGTTAATCCAAGCTTGTCTAATTCTTCAACTGTATTGAAAATAATCCCATCAGAGTTCATCCAATTGTGAAGATTTTTCCAGTTGAAATTTGTATAAGGATCATTAGAATCAGCTGCTAATAAACTTGGACTTAATTGACTAATTTCAAGATTTCCAGCTTCTTGAAAATCAGACATAGTAAACTCAAAATTTCTTGTTTTTTTATGTGGTAAATTTAGCCACATAGAATAATAACATGCCAAACCAAAACCACTAGCCCCACTAAAAATAACATGAAATATACCAAATTCATGAGCTATATTTGCTGACCAACCAAAAAAAAAGTCTGACATAATACATAGTGGTTTTTCAATAAGATTAGAAACAAGATTTCTAAATGAAGGTTCAAGACAAGAGGAAATTGTTGTAAAATGTAAAGTAAGTTTATAAGGAAGTGAATCAGTATTTTCAGTATTTGGAGGTAAACCATGTTGAGAACTATTGAATGGAATTTCAAGAAGAGAAATTTTGGAATTTAAAGGTAGAGATGATTTGAGTTTCTTGATATTGAGTGGTGTGTTTACAAAAATTATGTTGTAATTTTTTTGTTCTAATTTGAAAGCTAAGGTTAAGAAAGGTATAATATGGCCTTGTGCCATGAATGGGAAGAAGAGAATTGTTCCTTTATTCTTCTCCATTGTTTGGTTCTCTGTATTTTTCGAGAATGAATGCAAAGGAAGAAAGTTGATATAAATAGAGGATATAAATTGTTACTTTATTCTTCTCCACTGCTTGGATCTCTCTATTATTAAGTGATGCAATTATTATTCTCTTTCCTTTGCCGGAGCGAAAGGAGCCTTGGCGTAACTGGTAAAGTTATTGTTATGTGATCAGGATGTCACGGGTTTGAGCCGTGGAAACAGCCTCTTGCACAAATGCAGGGTAAGATTGCGTACGATAGACCCTTAGAATTCGACCCTTCCCGGACCCCGCGCATAGCGAGAGCTTAGTGTACCGGACTGCCCTTTTTAGCCTCTTGCAAAAATACAGGGTAAGGCTGCGTACAATAGACCCTTATGGTCCGGCCCTTTCCCGCACCTCGTGCATAGCGGAAGCTTAGTGCACCGGACTGTATTTTCCACTACCAAATCTAATTGTAGCTAACAAATCATTATAGTCGAAAATAATTTAAATTTCATATATTGATGATACACAAAAAAATCATGCTTTTAAATCACTTATAAAGTAATTATAAGTAAATTGCTACGATATGCATTAATTAATAATTTGATAAAAAAAAGTATATGTTATAATAAATTACACTATATTGGCAGTGTAAAAAAATCTTTATAATATAGGTATAAAGTCAAATATAAAGCTTAGTTGTGAAAAGGGTGATCACTTTTGGCCTTTTGAGATACTTTAAAGAACATTTACATGTTTTGTTTTCTTTCCATATATTGTATTCCAAGAGAAAATAATTTATTACTCCTATATACGGCAATTGTGGCGATGCTTAGCAAAGACATACCGTAATCTACAAGTTTAACTCTTTTTTTTTTTAGCGGCTAGAGTAAAATTGCAATAAAGGAAAACATATATTATTCAACATTTTAGTGTTGCAGATTTGATTTGATTTGATTTCGGTTCGAAAGTTTAGCGGTTCGGAAGTTTATGAAATTTGTGGGTTCGGAAGGTTGTTGGTTCGAAAGTTTATGGCTTCATGTTTATTGTATATAATTTTTTTGTGAATACTCTTGAGAAGTTATTTTCCTTAATTTGCGTGCCAAACACCGAAAAATGAATATAATTACTACTTGTTTTCCAAGAAAACATTTTCCACGGAAAAAAAAATTCCGTTATACCAAACACGCCCTTAATTGAATTGGTTTTACATCTGGCAATATTTTTATTTTTCTTGAACAACCTAGATATTATTCTACCATAGTATTGTGAATCAATAATCATCTTTCTGTTGTTTCACCTTCAATAATGCCTTAAAATACTAAATCTAGCTCAAAGGCAAATAGGCAGTTACTAACTTACTATCAATAGGAGTAGTAAACTGCTATATCTAGGGGTCAATTGGTTTGTGGCTATAAAATCTATCTTTATTTTTATTTTCACACGAGATTTGAAAACGAAATAAAACAGATCTTTGAACCATTTTTTACATTATTAAATAATGTTTTTATTTGAGATAAATCTAAAAAAATATACGTAACAGCTTAGACTGTATCATGCATAATTAGATTGTGATGGTAAACAGACATAACAGTATCACGAATAACGCAAAAATGATTGAATTTTTGTTTGTTTTGGCTTTTCAACTTTTTTATTCTACAATATTATTAAGAGAACTACAAGATGCTAACCTGTAAATAATTTCTCTTATAATAGAACTATAGAAGCAACAGTTGAGGCTGGGGCGGATCCTGTGCATTAGTTACGGGTTCCTGTCAATAACTTTTGTTTAGATCTGGTATATGTATTGAAAAAATTATTAAATATATATGAATATTTGGCTTGGAACTCATTCTCTTTCAGTTATTATTGTATATTAACTTGAGATTTCTGTAGGAACCCATAAACTTAAAATTCTGGATCCGTCTCTGAACTAAATTTCTTCACTAGCCTGTTTCTTTTTTTTTTGGATTTCTCACCCGTGTTCGGTACGCATATTGAGGCCCGACTAAACTCGGATTCACGCCAGAAAGCAAACCGCTCCCTAACAAAGACGAGCATGTTTCATCTACATACTTGCCTGACATTTGTGGGTAATTTTGGTTGTTGACTCAGTTTTGTGCATTAGTTGATAGTACTTGTGGCTTAAATGCGTTCTTGTGGGCCCCATCTGGTTGTTTTTATTGTAGACGTTGCTATCAATTTAAGTTCTGACACATGTGAAATGTTTTTTTTTTTTGGGCCCTATGCCATAGGGAGTTTAATTAAGTAGATCTGACATGTAGAATTAGACATTCAAGGGTTTGTGGCTACAAATTATTTTAAGTTCTTATGCTCCCTCCGTTTCATATTAAATGAGGTACTTTTCTTTTTAGTTTGTTTCAAAATAAATAACACATTTCTAAATTTGGAAATAATTCAACTTTAAACTCCTTATTTTACCCATTTTACCCTTAATAAGAAGCTTTTATAATCACACAAATATCATGGCCCCACAAAGCTTTACCCTTTAATCTTTTAAGACCACAAATTCCAAAAGTCTTTATTTTTTTCCATAACTTTGTATTCAAGATTCAATAATTTATTCGATATTGCGGCAATTATGGCGATCTTTAGCAAGCTTAATACTATGTGTATAATATCACCTTTTTTGGCAGATCAAGTAAAATTTCAATAAAAGAGAATTCAAAATTTTGAGGTCCCTAGCTAGAGACTAACTTTTGTTATACTAGCACTAAGCCTCTACCATCTATAGGCTTCCTTTATTAATTGATTTTTCTCTCAATGTTCGGTACTTGTATTGTGATCCGACTAAATTTGAAGTCGCGCCAAAAAATACATATTCGGGGGTACGTAAGGTGCTCCCAACTACAGTATTTCATATTCACAGCTCGAAGTCGAAATTTTTGGTTAAAAATGAAGATACACTTACCACTTCACTCCCAATCCTTATTGGTGTCTACAGGCTTTCTAATGCGAGGTGCCAGCCAGTGGCGGACGCACGTGGTGGCAAGCGAGTTCAACTGATCCCGCTTCATCAAAAAATAATACTGTGCATATGTATAAATTACGATTAAAGCTGTGTAAATTTTGTATAAATATTTTATTTGTACCAACTTGAGAACTACTATTTTACGACTAAAGTTATGTATTTCTAAGATTGAACTCGCTTGCACAAAATTATGGGTTCGCCACTAGTGCCAGCTATTGCTTCTTGTAGTAAATGAAATCACTACAACATTTAAGGCCTCCAGCCACCCCTGAAAAGTGTGGCCTAAGATGTCAACAAGTGTAGCATTTGATCAAAGGCAACACTTTACGATTTTAGGCTACGCTTTTAGGGGGGTGGCCTAAAGTATCGTAACCTTTGACTTATGGCCACGCTTTTTACGTGTTGTCGTAGGATCTACGCTTCAAAAGTGTGGCCGATGCACCAAAAAAGCTACACTTTATATTTCCTCTATAGCCACACTTTTATGACGTAAAGCTACAATTTTGAAGTGTGGCCTTTTTTGCTTTATAGACCACACTTTTAGAGCGTGGCTTCTAAAGCAACAGTGATCAAGCATAGCGTCAAATTGCCAGTCTCTATGGTCACATTTTCTAAGCGTGGCAATTATCTATGCTATGAAATAATTTTTAAAATATTTATATTTGCCACAATTGTGTGGTTAAGAAATTATTTTTGCCTACATTAAACTCAGTATTCGCATTTATTTCAAGTATATACATTATGATCTCAAGCATCAAATTAAATAATAAGTATCAGAATAAAAATAATTCAAATGCATATACTTGAAATAAACTTCAACAAAAAAATATAATTTGCATAGTACTATACCCATACTAATAAAGCACTACTACTTCAAGAAGTTCACTAGCAATGAACTATTCAAAACCGAATGTATTTATAACAATAAACGCCACAATCGTTAAAAAAATCTTAATCATTCGCGTCGATAGGTCAAATTCATTTGTGGCCACCATTTCCAATTACATCACCCGCATTTTCCGACACATTCAAAATGAAATTAAAAATTAGAAGAAAACCTATATATAGTATGCATTGGTTATAGCAACATGTCTTATTAATAATTAATGAGGTTTATTTCACTACAAAGCATAACCAAGTCAAACACATAAAAAGAGGTACAAGCCAAAGAGAAGCAAAAACATAAATTAATAACCTGCTTACATCCCAATATCTCAGAAAGCTTTGCCTAGATTGATAACCCCAATAGACAGTTAAGAATAGTGCTTTTCTGCACAAAACACACGTTGTTCATTTTCCTCCCTTCTTAGGACCAGTGGGTATAAGGAAAAAACTAATAAGAGATTTGGTAGGGGTGAGAAATTAATAGCACCTCCCTTCCTAGGACCAGTGGGTATAAGGGAAAAAAACTACTATATGCTAGCATTTTGGCTCCAAAAAGTTGGGATAAAGTTTATGTTTTGGTGAATTTAAACTTATTAAGAACAAAAGGGGATTTGATATTAACTTCTCTGCCATGCCAGTGATAAAGTTATTGATCTTTAAGAGGTAAGAGTTTTATTTTTTAGAGTAAAACCTAACGATTTGGACCATTAAACTTCCTAAGGCTTCACCATACATACCCTTTAACAAAGGATCATTCAAGGGAACCTCTTGAACTCATTCTTGACCAAATGGCTAGAACAAAAAGAACAATGATTTTTTGAAGAGTGTCAGCAGCTATGAACCTGTAGTTCATTGCATAAGGATTGTTGGAAGCAATGAAGTGAAAATATAGCAATGGAATAGCAAAAAGAGCAACAAATTTGTTGATCCCTGAACATTGATCTAGGGTGAAGATTTTTCACCATTTTACTGAACTATAAGCTAAGATCATTGCTATATACAGTGGAACTACAGCAGTGAGAACATTGCAAAGGTCTGAAAGTGATATCATTTTTTTCTTAACTGATGAAACTCAGTAAAAAGACTCAAAATTTATGGGGAATGAGAGAGGTGATATGATATATTTATGAGAATTAAAAGGCAGATAAAGAAGTAAAAGCAAAAGAATAGAGAGTATGATATAATTTATGCTCAAAACATAAGTAAAAGAATTAATCCCCTAAGTTAGAAAAGTGAGGGTGCTCACTGTTCACTACCCATATTAGAGGTGACAAATGTAGAAAACCAAAAGCTAAGTGTAAAAAATTCTTTTCATGAAGAAATAAAAGGCATTGTTAAGAGTCTTTGTAAATCCCAATTAGAATAACACAATTGCATTATATGTATGTTAATGTTAAGATTGTGTATTTATACCATTTGTAAGTCATATTAATGAACTGCTTTTAGCAGTAGTGAGTTAATACTTCTGTAATGACATTCTAACAAGTCAATACAGGAAAAAAGTAAAATACATTTAAAGTATAGGTTCAAAGACAAAAAATTTATCTCCTTGTATAATCGCAACAATCACTTAATTTAATAATAATAGCAATTAAACTCGCTAGAAAATGGACAGATAACAAGGGCCTTCCACTGAAACACAAACATGTTTCAGTGGGAAACATCTAATGGTGGTAGATATCAAACAGAAGCTCACTAACAAAAATTGAATTCTTTTCATAACCAAATACCTTAACTAGATCATGTTTCGCTGAAAAGAGCTAATAGTTTTGTGTGGTAATAAAGAATAACTTGTCTTTTCCTTTAAACAAGTGAAAAATGAACTTATTTTGCAGCCCTTATTATTGCCGCTAGAATTTTTTTTGTACTAGCGTTATCATATAACAGAACCATCAAAAGTAAATAATTTGGGTAAACATGATTTTGTAAGTTAAGATTGAGGTAGGTTTTTGGAAGTGTGAAATATAAATACCTTTTCAAGATTCGGAGTATGAGTTGAGCCAGAAGAATGTGGTAGATTTTGGCCTCTTATAGCTCGTGCACTACTTGCATCAACCGGTGAAGGAATATTAGATCCAGCACACCCTTGCATATCATGAAAATTCAGTTCATGGTTGTTTTGCACCACTTGACTAAGAAAAGATCGCATTTCTTCTCTCAACATTTCCTTCATTTCTTCTTTCAGAGAAGTCATTTCATTGGCATGCTTTTGTTTAAGCTTGGTGATTTCTTCATCTTTTTTCAGAGAGCTTGTCGTCACCGATCTACCATAGCATCTAACCCGACCAGGCTGCTCCTTTCCAAACACAGCCCTCAATGCATCATCTGTTGTTTCTCCGAAACTTTGACGATTCTGAAGTTCAGACTGTAAAAAAAAAATATTACTGCACATCACTTACAAGTCAAGATAGATTGAATACTAAATAACATAAACTAACTTTTATTTTTCCTACAAAAGACATGAAATATTTTCAGGGGTTGATGTAAATGAATGTTGCACTGGAAGCTGTTAAAAGCAACACTTATAAAGAGGAGTGTGATTTAGTTTTAATTTGGCAAATTATATCTTGGTCATGGTAAATCAAGTTTCTTTCCCAACTATGAATTCTTTTGAGAAACTTCAACTTGTCTTATTTTTTAGTAAAGATCTAGGAGCTCTTAATAATAGTATCTTTTTTGAGCTTTCGTTCAAGTGTCTAAAGAACACATACTTCATTAGGAGTTATCTCCTAATGAAACTACAATTTCACTAATTTGTTATTCAATTAGTACAAGATATAAGCACCAGACACATATACAAAACTACATTTATTAAAAATACATGGTTTTAATTAAAAAGCTGAAACTTCAACAGACACACATTCAGTTAACAAGAGGGGCTATATAATTACAAGATCTTAACTTGCATCATGACTTACTATTGCAACTTGAGTATCTGTATGAACTTCTTTTCCTTTCTTTGTACGAGTTGCAATAAACATTTCGGACTTTGATGGTTCCTCGTTGTTCTCTTTGGTTGCACGCTACAAATTAAATCAAAAGAAAGTAAAAGATAAACATTAGTGTATTCCGAAAAAGAAAATGGAAGTCAAAATTTTCATAAATTGTCGAGTAAATGCTACCAATGCTACGCGTATTCTTCAAAAATTAATAGGTCCCATTCGATGCCTCCACTTTTGTTTTTTCTTGTTTTCAGAATTTAATTGGCACATGGCCTAGCACCAAAAGAAGTACATTAGTCAATAAATCAAAAAGAAAAAAAAAAGATATAATGCAACAATATGTTCAAGTGTAGAAATGCACAATTTAATCTCACTTGGACATCTGAATCCTTCCAATACTCAATCAATTGGCGGAATTGAACTTCTGGTATCTCATTCGGACGATTTTGTAGCATATCTTCATCAGTAGCATTCTTATTGAAATATTTCATCTTAATATTTCTCTTGTGTCGCCTCCAAGCATCAGAAGACCGGTCATTACCCACTTCTCTCCTTCTGCTGGAATTATGAACTTGGACTATGCAAAATAACGTATATTTATCTTCACTTAGTAGGAAATATACAAAAAAGTATACATTTAAAAAATTGATTGTTCCTACATTGACATATTCCCACATTCGTCGCTTAATATCATGTGACACAGCATGCCAACTAGTATGCACCAAGGTGATAAATCTTGGATTTCTTGCAATTGTTCCTATAAAGTTGGTCAAATCAGACACTCTCTTGTCAGTTGGTCCCATTGCTTGTCCTTTGTCAAATGTCACCTCCTCTCTTTCTTCAAAACTTCTTGCATGAATATTATTACTTGTCGTTTGCCCTTGAACTCTTTTCTTCTCTAATATCCCTAGATTAATGTAACAACATGACATAAGAAAAATGTTACAATATGTAAAAGAAGTACAAATTTTAAGACATACCATCTGCAGCACTATCAATATTTACATCCTCATCTCTAACAAACTCATCGTCACCAACTCCTGCTTGTGCATCAAAATTATCCATTTCTATTTCATGCTCATCAACAACAGGGGATGACATAAATCTGACTTCATCTACTGGTTGGATATTAGGAGAATTTTCACCACCAACGTGTATCCCATATTTTTTTAGAAATTGATTTAGACTCGTCGACGGTATGACCGAGTTTGTCTTTACCTTTTACAGTTTTGTTGCTCCCGAATATCAAGTTGTTTCTCTCCTTCACCTTGTTTTCTTCCACTCATACGTGAAGTGTTAAGATTTTTTTTTTTTTTGAAGATGACTGGAGCATGTAATTTATTCATTCCTTGCTTTTGAGTTTGCTCCTCCAATTGAACTAACCTCTGTTTACTTTGTCCTCTAGTTGCAATGTTATGTGAAGTGTTCAGATCTTCCCTGGAAGGCGGTTGGATCATTGATTTGTATATAGGCAATTTACTCATTCCTAACTTTTGAACCGATTCATCGGATTCAGTTAACCTCTGTCTTCTTTGTCCTTCTGTTGTTGTAGGCATATTATTCTTTCTTTTAAATCTAAGTGATGCCTGCTCTTTCATAACTTTATCCTTGTGATTACTTGCGAGATTTTCTCTCTTAATTTGAATTTTTTTCGCCAATTCGGCACTTGGTCGGTATTGAAAATCAAAACCTATATTCTTCATTGGACTTTCAGCTTTGTTTGGATTCGAAACCTTTTTCTTTAGAGCTGCTGCTTGATTTATCCTTCATACAAAGAAAAAATTATTTTAGTCTAGCAACTAGTAGGAATACAGAACACTATGCAGAAAATAGACATTTAAGACCAAGCTATCATGAAATATATAATCATTTAACATGCATCTAATAAAAAATGGAAGCTTTTCTATTTCTTAATAAAGTTGAGTACACATCTTCTTCTGAGAAGAAGAAAATTACTTGTATTTTCATTTACTTCATAATATTCAAGAAACTAAATAAAGGAATTAAACTCTTAGCCTTGTGGCTTCACCTGAGCCTACAGCTTATTTGTTGATAGTTTTAAACGGAGCAAAAAAAAGAGACCGTAAAAAGAAAGAACAAGATATAAACTTTCAGCACTCCCTCTCAAATTAATTTGAGAAATGCTAACTGAAGTACTACAGGTTAAAAAATGAAGACTTTAATACAGCTCTAGAAACATTGAATCCCAGCTAGTACTCTCTCGGTCTGAATCGCGTGATCCGGATGACCCAAATAGTCCAACTAAGAAGCCAAGGAATGTATCAGACTATCGTGAGGATTTAAAATCCGAGTTTAGTGCAGGAGAGGGGAAGAACAATAAGGAGATGAATGTTGGGGATGTAGTTGAGAAAATCCAGCCTACTCAGAACTATGGTTTTCATTCTGAAGCCAACCAACTCCCTGATGGAGATGAGGAGGAACTCAAATAGAGGACGTTTAAAGAGCAGTTCAAGAGACAAGTATCTGCTTCAAGTTATGATTCAGCAGATGACATTCTTGATGATGAGGTTATACGTCCAGGGAATGGTGTAATCTTCAATGAATCGATGATGTTGGAAAGAAAAGCAGAATTCCGTCGTTGGAAAGTCCTAAGAGTGAAGTTTTTGGTTCTGAGAAATCAAACAGCAAGGATGTTTCTATCGAAAGGGGCTGGCAGAAACTCTTGGTACTTCACTGATAATCAAATTTCTCCAAGGTACCAAGCAGGAAATGAAAAGGAAGTTGAAGGATTCACAAAGCAAGTTGCAGAAAACCTAGACATAATTAAGACGCCAATATCAGTGAGAACTAGAAGGAACTATCACTGGTGACTAAGGACAGATAGAAGTTTGCAGAGATTATGCGAGTTGGAGTATATATTGTGTGCTTTGTCAATATATTATAGCTTCATATTTTCTTTGTTTTGATGAGATTTTGTAAGTTTGAGCATATATTTTGTGCTTTGACAATATATTGTAGCTTCGTTTTTTGTTTATTTAGTGATGAGCTCTGGACAAATTATATGATGTATTATCAAAACTGCAGGAGGCATTAAATTTTTGTTGATTCTTGAGGGTTAAAATTATGATGCTATGAGCTGCTACTGCTATGAAAGAAGGTAGAACTTATAATATTTTAGTCCATCACACCATCTAGCTTTCAGCAAAGATATGAGCCGGTACATCAGAAAGCTCATAGATAAATTGAGACCACGAAAAGCACATAGGGAATATATTTCAATTGCCACTTTAAAGAATAGATGAACTGTAATAACAACACACAGTAAAATATGAACAAATATCAAAATGAGAATAACTGCAAGTTAAAGTGACAAACAAATCTGAGTTTCTTTTGTTCAAGGCTAAACGGATATAGTTATACCCCATCAATGTGGCAGCTCAATGGCAATCTTGAAGATGTAAAGTCCCCAAGAATTGCTGTATATGTTAAGTACATTTTAATAGCTTATTCAGTCTGTCCTCTACTGTCAAACTACCTTTCCCATTTCAGTTTTGTTTTGTACCTAAGATCACTTGCAGTTCATACAATATATCATGGAAGGTAGTTAACGACAGTAAATCAGACAGAAATCTCAGATAGGAAGATTAACAACTACAAAAATACCAAGATTACACTATTTCAAAGTCTACAAATATATACTCATAAAACACTTGATCAAGCAAATTCCTATAGTAAAGTATAAGTAAATATAGTCACTAGCCTCTAGCACGCTTCTTGCCATGTTGCATCAGGTCAGCAAAAGACTGAAAATCCACACCAACAAACGAGTAACTAGAATCAACGGGGAAAGGTTATATTTTCTTTTCACTTAGCCAATTGAATGATGGAAATTGCTAAGTGAGAGGAACACAAGTTGTTCAGTTACAAAAACAAATAGCATATTCTTCCTAAATAGATAAATAGAGTTGCAGAGATACCTGTTCAGTATTTATCTGCTTCTTCAAAATTTCTAGTCAACAATTTTTTTTAGTTGAATGAGCACCACCTGATAACAATAGAAGAAATATGTATACTTTAGCATATTTTTCAATACTCCAATAATAAGATTAGTGACAAATTCAGAACTATAATTTCTACTTAATCACATTCACTTCCCGGGATATTTAGTGCAAAACTAGAGGACTTAAACCTCTTTTCATATATGATGAAATACGGTTCCACATGCTATGAAACTAAATTGAGGCACACTTAATAGTAACCAAATACTTTAGAAACCAAAAGTGACACCCTAAAATTATATGAGCACAAAATATATAGGCATAAGGAAGAATAAATGTAACACCACTATTTTGCGTTTTACACCTTGCATCACGCTGCCTCGTATGGAATCTATATCCATTAATGAGATACCCAGAATATCTTTTGGCAATTGAATTTGGTCCTATGGATAACTATTTTATCAGATCGGACACATCCTCATGCAAGACACGAGTTTCAAACCATTGAGAGAAAACTTCTATAAATTGCAAATTATATACTATTATGCAGTATACACTTCCTATCAATGGTTGGTTATACACACAAGTTTCTATTACAATGGAGAAAGACCATTAACAAGAACGGTAAAGAACATAATGGAGGAGGTTACGGCAATGCGAGAAAAACTGGAATCATCCATACATCACTATCAATACAAGAAGGATGAGAGTCCAAACTTACAACATGGACATCGAGACTGTGCAGGCCTCATTGGTGTTTATGTCCAGATACAGAGGTCATCACGGGTACAGTGAAACAAATAGGCAATTACACGTACATGACGGCTAACCAAAAGTTCTGGAACAGAACATTTTTTTGGAATACCAAAACTTTAAGATGGGAATTTGGCAAGGTACTATAGTTTGAAGACAACTGATAAAAGTAGTGAATGATATTAGCAAGGAAATCCAAATACATCCAACTACTTCAACATAATAAGAATTCGATTCATACAATGGTTTGTCAACTTAAAGGGAATCCAATCGGCTATAGGAGCAAACAACAGGCCAGGACACTGAATTTTGTGTGCGACGCCAACTGTTTTTACTCTATTTTTGGACAACAGAAGCTCTATCACCAACCTAATTGAGTACATTCGGGAAGATGGAATCTCAACAAAAATAACAAAAGCATGGAACCAACTCAGATACATGACAATCACTACATAAATACATTCGATGTATACTACTTGGTTAGATCAAATTGTACGACTAAGTTTGAGTATCAGTAGCTCAAATTTGGTTATAGGAAATATGTATTACTCTTACCCAATGGGATCAAAGACCACATACAATTTGTAACTTGTTTTGGTTTTTAAAATATATAAATAACTACCCTAGGCACTTTACACAGTGGAATTTAAAAAAAAAAAAAATTAGAGACTTTTTCATGAGATAGGTTTTATCTAAATTAATTTTGTAGAGGCTTGTTCCAGTTCTTTCTTTCTTGGAATTAGCAAATTAAAGAAAACAGAGATTGGTATAATATAAGTATTTCTAAAAGCTTGAGAACTTACAATTCTAAAAGCAATAGAAGAGCAGCAACCAAGGATGAAGCAAACGTAGAAAGAGAAGCAGCAATTGAGGGTATTAGAGCAGCGGTTGCGTGGAAACTGATTTGCTACTTATTCCTGTAGGGTTTTCCAAGCACTATTTTTGCTATGTATTCCTATAGGGTTTTCCAAGTACTATTCAATCTTGGACTTGTGAGAATTGGCGGAATATGAAGTGTAATTTTGGTGGGAAATTTTTTGGGAATTTTTTTATAAGGAATTTTTAGGCTACCCTTGTAAAGGGTGTCATTTAGTATGATAATATAGCAACCGTCCAAAAACGTTGCAATATAATTTAAAAGTGTGGCCAAAAGTTTTATATTTAGGCAACACTTAGAAAATGTTGTCTTTACAATTAAACGGAACGCTTTATAAGTGTTACCTTAAAACCCGTGGCCAAAGACTCTACTCAAATGTCACGCCTAAAAAGTGTTCCTACATATACTTTTGGCAACACTTTTTGAGCGTTGCCTAAATTAATGTGGCTGTAGCCCTAAAATGTTGTAGTGAATATTAGGTATTCTCGAGTTCGAAACATAATTAATGTAGTAAAATATTTGTGTAGAGAAGGTAAAATTATTTTATATGGCATGATCATATATGTAGTGATTTCAATTGAGGAAACGACTTGGAGATAGCCATAACAATCTTGATAAGCCATCGTTTTAAGTCATAGGCAGTTAAATAATGTAAACAAGAGCCAATTTCAAATTAGAAAAATTAATGGTCTGTGGTTGCATTAAATCATCTCTTGACATTAAATTTCAACTTTGATAAATAAGAACTTTCTGAAGCATCAAATAAATATAATTGTTCATTTATTTAATTTCAAAAATATATAAATAAACCACAATAGTGAGTAATTATCCCAAAGTCTACTAGTAATGGAACATGCCAATTGCTTCAATTCTAGTCTTGAGCCACGTTGCAATGAAGTTCTTTTATTCACTGTTTTGCTTAAAAAGAGAGAGAGAGGGTCGAATTATTTAAGTAAGAAGTCAGCAATCTCTCTATAATATATGAGGTGTACATGTTAATATTCTACTATGAGCCCGTTTGGTTTAGCTGATTTAGAGTAGCTGATAAGCATTAGATGCTGATAAGCACTTTTTAGTGCTGAAACTGATTTAAAAAATAAGCAGTTACGTGTTTGGATAAAAGTGCTGAAATTAATAATATGCAGCTGAAGAACTGGGTATACGAAGAGTTTTGTTTTAAAAAGAAGTATTTTAAGGATAGAATAGTAAATATTTTGGTCAAACTTAAAGTGCTTATAAGCTGAAATTTGATAAGTTGGGGGAGACCAACTTATGGCTTTTGGCTTATTTTTGGCTTATAAGCACTTAACTTATAAGCACTTTTAATTTTACCAAACGCGTAGATAAGCCAAAAAGTGCTTATAAGCCAGTTTGACCAGCTTATAAGCTTAGCGAAACACCCTCTATATCACCATAGGAGAGTTCAAGAGTTATAATTTGATGAGTTACGTTCACCATTTATTTTCGAGAGTTCGAAATAAATTCTAGTAATATTTCACATATATATTCATATTTTCTGTCAAAAACGGTAAATTCAATTAGACCCTGTACTTTTACACATTATATTCTCCATCGACCATTATGTATCACCTTAGAGCATACCTAAGATGTTCCACTAGTAATTCCTCAGCAAAAATAAAACGAACATATTAAAAAAAAAAAAAAAAATTAGCTAAACTAACAAAGAAGAACTTAATACCTTGTCTTCATCCATTGTAAGCAGATCAATAAGATCTTCAAGCTACTATTATTTTGTTTTCGCTTATAAATTAAGTTAATTGGTCCAAAGTCAGCTATACAGTATTACTAATAAAAATTCACCCTTGCTTCTTGCCTATGCTTTCACTCGGTGGCGGAGCTAGCCTTTCGGTTACGGGTTTGGCTGAACTTAATAGCTTTGCTCCAAATTCTATACTTGTCTTAAAAAATTCATTGAATATATATAAATTATTACTTTAGAACTCAATAATAACTTTAAAAATTAGAATTCCAAGCTTCAAAACCTAGCTTCGCCTGCTTTCACTAGCTTCTCCATTTATTTATAAAGATGACATGAATAACCAGTTTGTGATGCTACCCAAATATATCTTAATGCCTTTAATCAACGCAATTTGAGCTATTATATTATAGAGACTCGTTGTGTTTGCATACTTTGCTTCTATTATTATTTTTCATTTAAAAATATCTCGTTGACTTGTATTCTGCTTTAGTCACTTCCATTTTTTTCTGTGTCCAAAGCAACGATATTGTAAACGGTCGAAACTAGGTTCGTCCATTGCTTGATCAATCAAGGCTGAAACATGACAGGTCAAAGCTCGAGCTCGGGTTATATCAAACCAAGGCGCGAAATTAGACCGTCGAGCTCGTGACCCAGAGACCGAGCAAGATCGAGGCCGAACAAGATCGAGACCGAGCAAGATCGAGGGAAACTTACCGAGCCAAGTAACGAAAAATCGGAATATTCGTAATCGGCCGAGGATCACGGCAGAAATCTCGGCACATATCAAGAAGAGGCCAATTAATTAGCGAATCATGAGATTTTTTACGTTGTATAGAATTGTACCAAAAGTAGAACAACCCCACTATATAAAGGGGGGTTCTGATCATTCGTAAGACACGTTGTAACACGTAAAGAAAGCAATACACTGATCATTTCTAGTTTCATCGTCTTGTTGTTCAGTTCTAACACTAGTTGAGACTTTTCTTGCCTCGAGAGTGATCGAACTCAGAGACTGAGGTTGTTCAATTTTTTGGTTTGCATTTATTTCATTATCGTTAATTTCAATATTAATTTGTCTTCTTAATTTGTATCAAGTTATATCACGTATCCTTAAAACCGCGTATAAATTCAATTGTTATCCAATTTTAAGGGTAAACAGTTTGGCGCCCACCGTGGGGCTAAGGATAATAGTAAATACCTGGTACAAACTTTAGTAACCTACACTATTTTACACTTGTTATTTGAAGTATCTTTGATTCCAGGACTAAAATGTCAAACTCTCAGTCAGCACCCTACACGTTGACAATGATTTCGGCCACCACGGGCGAAAATGATAACATAGCACCAGGGAACGATGTACCCCCGGTCGGCCTCGATGAAGTTCCGGCTGTAGATCCAATCGACGTCAGCTCACATGTAGCCATCAACGAAAATTTGGCCGTCGATCCCGAAGGAAGCGCCCATGGGGATGTTCGATCAGCCGCTCAAAGCGCACATGGCGGTAAAGATGGGGGGATCGGCCTGCTCGTGATCTTTGAAATGTTGCAGGCTCTGCAGGCAACGATAGCCCAACTCCAAAAGTAGAATCAACCACCGAGCAGGGTCGAGCTCGAGCCATCCCAGGAAGTTGTACACAGGGTCGAATCGGTTTCAAGAAAATCGAACGAGAAAGAATCGGAGACCAATCATGAAGATGCTCGAAGAACTGACAAAACGAGTTGAGTCGGGGGAAAAGAAGATCGAGGCAAACGACAAAAAGGTGGAAACTTATAACTCCAAGGTCGATCAAATCCCAAGGGCACCGCCAATATTGAAGGGATTGGATTCCAAAAAGTTCGTACAAAAACCTTTCCCCCCGAGCGCGGCTTCGAAGCCAATCTCCAAGAAGTTCTGCATGCCCAAGATTCCTAAGTATAATGGAACAACCAATCCGAACGAGCACGTCACCTCTTACACGTGTGCTATCAAAAGGGAATGATCTAGAGGATGACGAGATCGAATTTGTCTTGCTAAAGAAATTCGGGGAGACCCTGTCAAAGGGAGCTATGATATGGTACCATAATTTACTACCTAATTCTATTGACTCATTTGCTATGCTTGCAGATTCTTTCGTAAAGGCACACGTCGGGGCCATCAAGGTCGAAACCAGGAAGTCAGACCTTTTCAAGGTAAGGCAGAAGGACAAAGAAATGCTCAGAAAATTCGTATCTCGATTCTAAATGGAACAGATGGACTTGCCACCGGTCACTGATGATTGGGATGTTCAAGCTTTCACTAAAGGACTCAATGTTCGAAGCTCAGTGGCTTCACAGTAGTTGAAGCAGAATTCGATAGAATACCCGGCTAATACTAGGGCTGATGTGCATAATCGGTATCAATCAAAGATCGGGGGCGAGGACGATCAACTTGGGGCTTCTTCTGGGTCCATTTATCCTATCAGACCCGTAAATAGAATCAAGAGGGCTATTGACCGAGAACCGAGGTTGAACAGAGATCGATATCAGCCGTATAATGGAGATCGTAGGAGCAGCGGATCAGGGCGAAATTCTGCACGAAATGAAAGGAGAAGTGATCGAGGTCAAAGTTCTCGAGGGCTAATGATCAAGAACGGCTTCGATAGACCTATTGAACCCAAAGAGGCACCACGATTATCAGAGTACAACTTTAATGTTGATGCGGCTGCCATCGTATCAGCTATCCGACGCATCAAGGATACAAGGTGGCTCGGCCTTTACAAACTGATCCAACACAAAGGGTCCCAACCACATATGCAAATATCATAGCACACATGGCCACAGAACGGAGTATTGTCGACAATTGAGAGAAGAAGTAGCCCGATTATTCAACAACGGGCACCTTCGAGAATTTCTGAGCGACCGAGCTAAGAAGAATTTCAGAAACGACGGGGATTCTAATAAACAAAATGAACAAGATGAGCCACAACACGTCATTCATATGATCATCGAAGGGGTCGATGTTCCTCAAAGTCCGATGATAAAGCACACCAAAGTATCAATCACAAGAGAATAACGGACTCGATATTACATACCAGAAAGACCTTTATCTTTCAACGACGAGGACGCAGAAGGAATCATGCAGCCCCATAATGATGCACTGGTAATTTCTGTACTCATGAATAAAACTCGAGTTAAACGTGTGCTAATTGATCCAGGTAGCTCGGCCAACATCATTCGATCGAGGGTCATAGAGCAACTCAGCCTACAGGGCCAAATCGTACATGCGGCCCGAGTGCTAAACGAATTGAACATGGCTTGCGAAACTACTAAGGGAGAAATAACATTGTCGGTAAACGTAGCCGGTACAACCCAAGAGACCAAGGTTTATGCAATTGAAGGGTACATGAGGTACAACGCCCTGTTAGGGAGGCCATGGATCCACAACATGAGGGTTGTGCCCTCGACCCTTCATCAGAAATTAAAATT